TCAAAATCACTTCAACCAGGCTCCCACTAAACAAAAATCGAGATCTCCTAGTCCCGCGCGATGGCGAGCGTGGTGACCTGAATTCTATTTTGCAGCGCTTCTAGTAAGAAGTCCGCCCTGCTAGGGGCGTTGCCTATAGGAGTTAGTCTCTACTGTGAGATGGTACTATGGGAGTCCTGACCCCTACCTAAAGGAACCATAGTCCCCATGGTCCCTGGCCACTGCAGTGAAATAGTGACCGTAGGACTGTGAGGGTTTCAATCTGCAGAAAGGGGCCAGTGGCCTCAACCGGGTGAGGGTAACCGGGAAGGCTTCCAGGAGGAGGTGGCTGTGATGGCAAGTTTCTCAAAGGTCGAGGGAGGGGAATGCAGTGGCCTAAAGGCCAGGCAGACCCAAGGTCCTGTGTCTGATGTGATCCCAAAGCCCTGCCCTCTGCAGCTGTAACATGGGGCCCGGAGCTATTCCCTGGCCTTGTTGTGAGGATTGAGTGAGAGCACAGCCCAGCCCAGCAGGTAGTAGGTGCTCAGTGAATGACCCCTCTTGGCGGAAGGGAGGGGCCCCTCCAGGCCAGCCTTGGACTCGGCTTCCTGAGGGGCTCACCCAGGAATCTGGGCCCCTCGGGCTCTCGGGTGGGGCCAGGCTCTGGGGGAGGGAGAGGCCTTTGTAGGGAGCCGGACTAGACGGGCCCCTGCTCCCCCTCCCAGGACTTCCAGTTCATCCTCAAGGGCATAGCCCGGCTGCTGTCCAACCCCCTGCTCCAGACCTACCTGCCCAACTCCACCAAGAAGATCCAGTTCCACCAGGAGCTGCTGGTCCTCTTCTGGAAGCTCTGCGACTTCAACAAGGTGGGCCGGCTGCAGGGCCAGCCTGGGGACAGCGGTCTGCCCTCCTGAGGAGCGGCTACTCCGCCGGGCCGGGGATGGGCACAGTGTCTGGGGAGACTCCCAGGAGGGGGGAAGGGCGGGCGGAGCTGGCCCTCCCTCTGACCCTGCCTGCCTGTCCCCTCCTCCATCCCCCAGAAATTCCTCTTCTTTGTGCTGAAGAGCAGCGATGTGCTGGACATCCTGGTCCCCATCCTCTACTTCCTCAACGATGCGCGAGCAGATCAGTGTAAGGAGGGGTGTGCATAGGATGGGAGGGGCACATCTCCCAGGAGCTCAGCCCCCCAGGATGGTCCCGCCCCTTGGCTCCCTTCCTCCCCTCCCCGCCCTGTTGGTGACCCCTCCCACGCCACCTGTCACAGCTCGGGTGGGCCTGATGCACATTGGTGTCTTCATCTTGCTGCTCCTGAGCGGGGAGCGGAACTTCGGGGTGCGGCTGAATAAGCCCTACTCAGTGCGCGTGCCCATGGACATTCCGGTCTTCACGGGGACCCATGCGGACCTGCTCATTGTGGTAAGCGGGCCCCTGGGTGCATGGGGGCAGTGTCCTCTGGGCTGAGTTTGGAGGCAGAGGGGACCCCATGGCCGCCCCTCTGCTCCCCCCCCCCGCACAGGTATTCCATAAGATCATCACCAGTGGGCACCAGCGGCTGCAGCCCCTCTTCGATTGCCTGCTCACCATCGTGGTGAACGGTAGGGGGCCCCGGAACCCGCCTTCCCGCTGATCACCACCAGGTGGCGCTGGGCCACAGGCTGACTTGCCCGCCACTCCCTTGGATAGAAACGCAAGGGCTTGTCTATCATCTGATCCCCCCTCACAGGCTATGCCACAAATATGTGTTTAATTCTATGGAGAATATCACTTTGATGTGCTAGCAAGACCTAACGGTCCTGAGTTTGTATTCCTGTCCAATCGTTTTACAACTGGGGAACTTCGGCAAGTTTATGTACCTCTGTGAGCCTCAGTGTCCCCATCTGTAAAAGGGGATGGTTTCGTCTGTGTCCCACCTCCCGCTCAGGGGTGTGAGTGGTTTTGTAAACAGGACAGCTGTCCACACGGTGGAGGGACAGGGGCGGAGCTAAACTGCTCCCTGGGGCTCTGCAGGGTGGCCTGGGCCTCTGGGGGTGTCCTCTTCCTGGCTTTTCAGGGGCTTTGCAGGCGGGGGGTGGGGAGGGCTTGGGAGCAGGAGCACCTTGTCCTGCTCAGACGCAGGACGTGCCCGGGCGGCTGGTGGGGCCCAGGGGTAAGCCGAGCCCTCCCTGCAGTGTCCCCCTACCTCAAGAGCCTGTCCATGGTGGCGGCCAACAAGCTGCTGCACCTGCTGGAGGCCTTCTCCACCACCTGGTTCCTCTTCTCGGCCGCCCAGAACCACCACCTGGTCTTCTTCCTGCTGGAGGTCTTCAACAACATCATCCAGTATCAGTTCGACGGTGAGGCCCTGCCAGGCCTGGGGGCAGGAGGGGGGTGGGCCGTGGGCGAGGATACCTCCCTGTCTAAGGGGTAACAGTCCTCTGCCCCCCGGTTTGTCCAACGTGCATTTATTGAGCACCTGCTGTGTACCCAGCCCTGTGCTGGGCGCGGGGGACGCGGTGGAGAACCAAGCAGATTGCTCTCTGCCCCGTGGCGTTCACAGCTGGGATGGAGGGGGAGGGCGGCTCTAAACAGATGGCCACACGGACAGATCATCTTACTCTGGGGAGAGGGACGTTCTGACTGGCACGACCTGGATGGGTGTCCCAGGTGCCGGGCTGCCTGGTGTAAATGAGGGCCTTGGCCCTTGGCTGTGGGCGCATAACCTCTCTGTCTCAGTCTCCTCTTGTGAGATGGTGCTCCTTCCCCACAGGCAACTCCAACCTGGTCTATGCCATCATCCGGAAGCGCAGCGTCTTCCACCAGCTGGCCAACCTGCCCACTGACCCGCCCGCCATCCACAAGGCCCTGCAGCGGCGCCGGAAAGCGCCCGAGCCCTTGTCCCGCACCAGCTCCCAGGAGGGCGCCTCCATGGAGGGCTCCCGCCCGGCCGCCCCCGCCGAGCCCGGCACCCTCAAGACCAGCCTGGTGGCCACCCCAGGTCTGGCGCTGGCGGGGGGCGGAGGGTGTGGACACCGGCATGGGTGGGGGCTGGACAGGGTCTTTGGGGTGTGTCACCCCATCTCTGGCAAAGGGCATGGGAAACTGAATCGGGGGGGATGGCAGCTGAGGCGCAGGGCAAGAGATGCTGGAGTCCAGAGGGGCACTGGCTTAGTGGGGCACGGACCTCACGGCCTGGGTGTGGGGCTCTGGGAGGGGTGCGGTCAGGGGTGGGGGGCACTGGGGGGATCAGGCACAGCGGCTCTTAA